ATGCTTAAAACATGCTGGTGAATAAAATATACAGCATGGTCCTGCTGGCACAGAGTTACTGAAAATAAAAAAACAACAAAGTAAATAAATAAGCAACTACAAACTCAGATAAGGACTTCAAGGAAATAAACATTTATAAAATAGATAAAGAATTAGTAACAAGTTAGTGTCATTTATGTTAACAGAAAAAAGTAATCAATGGTCTCAAATTCAGGGTTCTGGGAAGATGAGAACTGAGACAAGACTATTGGATTTGGACAGAATGAAATCACTTGTGTCCCAAGAGAGAAGAATAGTGGTTATGGGTGAAGCCAGCACGGAATGAAAGAGTGGAAAAGCCAGAAATGGGAGTTGCGATTATTAATCATATTTAAAGGAATCTAACTATATAAAGAAGAAGAGAAACAAGGTATCTGGAAAAGATGGCAGACAATTAAAGGAGAAGATTTAAGTGTATGTGAAGGCAGAAAGCAAGTGCCAGTAAAGAGGCTACGAGAGGCATCTTGGCATTCTCATTTCCACAGTCAATTCCTGCAAAGTCTGGTCCATTCTCCCTGATTAAGGCCTCCCTATGAACCTGTTGCTCAACAGGTTGACTTCTCTATTTTTAAAATTAGAACTTTTTTCAATCCCACATTCCTTTCTGATATTGCCACCTCTCTCTTTCAATACCAAACTTCTTGAAAGAGTTGTCTATTTTCACAGTTCATTCCCTTACCTCCTCTTCACTCAAGCTTCTGCCCTTAACCATGCCTTTGAAACTGTCCTTAGCAAAATCATTAATGACCTTACTTTGCAAAAGCCAACATGCAACTTTAGAATTAGTTTCTTTGGCCTTCTGACAACGATGGACAGTGCTGACGAATCCCGTCTCAGAAGCCCTCTTTCTCACTCCAGTCTCACTCTTTAGGATCTGTGGCCCTGTTTCCCGGGCCACACCTTCCCCATCGCCCACAAGCCTCTTGCCTGCCGGTGGGCTTCAGGATTTGGGATTTGGCTCTTTGCTTCTCCTACAAACTCTTCCTGGGCAATTGCCTTGCTTTCTCACTACATGCTGATGGTGACTCTCAAGTATATATTTATAGTCCCTCCTTAGCTCTAGCCTTATATATCCAACATTCTGTTGGATATTTCCTCTTGGATGTCCCACAATATGTCAAACACAGTGAGTCCAAAGCTGAACTTACCATTCCCCTCACCTCCAAACATGCTGTTTCCTACCCAAATGAGTAGTGCTGCCATACACCTATTTGTCTGTATCAGAAATCTGGGCCTCAGTCTTCACTCTTTTCTCTTCATTCCCCAACATCCAATCAACTTCTGGGTTCGCTGGATTTTAATGCATTTATGTCTCTTGATTCCAACCACGTTTCTCCATCCTCATGATTACAACCCCTCCCAGGCCACCCTAATTTCTCATCTAGATGTTTTAGTAGCTTCCTAACTGGGCTTCCTGCTTTCAAGTTTGCTTTTCTCAAACACTCTTCCCCTGTGCAGAGACAGTATTTCTAAACTGCAAATAAGAATTAAAAAATCTTTTGATAACAACCACTTATTATCTTTAGGATCTGAGGCTTTATAGTGGACTAAAACTACACTTTCACTGCAACAGAATTTGATTCTGGATAAAAATCATCTCAAAAAAAATAAGTGGAGGCCAAAGTCATAGGGTTATCCGAAGGTCTGATGCTAATAGCAACACTACTGAAATACTTTGCTTTGGGTTAGTGGTGAAATGAGAGAGCTAATGCTGGGACTCTGATTCTGAGCTGGGAGTGCTTGATAACTTGAGTGGTGTGCTAAAGCATATCAGGTCAGAAGTGGTCCTTGACTACTGGCACAAACAAAAAAGAAGCTAATCCCCTCTACAGAGAAATGTTTCCAGTTTAGCCCCACAGAATTCCCACAGATTGAAAGAAAATAATGAGCTCACAATTAAAAATCAACAAGCAAGGAATTCTCTGGCAGTTCAATGGTTAGGCCTCTGTGCTTTCATTGCTGAGGGCCTATGCTCAATCCCTGGCTGGGGAACTAAGATCCTACAAGACTCATAGCACAGCCGGAAAAAAAAGAAAAATCAACAAGCACAGGGAAAGGCAAACACCAGGAGAGTCAACAGAAACAATAAACAATAGAGTTAAACCCTAAGGACAACAAATATTAGAATAGTCAGATGACTACAGAAGAACTATACACTATATGTTTGCAGAAATAAAAGGCACAATCACAAGTATGTACAAGTAACATTTAAAAGAAACAGATTTTGGGAGGAAAGAAAGCTTGCAAAAATAAAAAAAATGGTTTCAGAAAGAAAGAACTCAATGAATGGGTGAGACAGCAAATCAGAGTCAACTGAAAGGAGAATTAGTGACTTGGAAGACATATCTTTGAAGAAATTGCCCAGAATTTTATGAGAAACAAGGAGACATATGAGCTAAAGAACATGGAAAATTAAAGATCTAACCTATTTCTAATTGTAGAATCCCAGAATGAAGAAATAGACAATGAAAAGGAGGTGCTTTTGAAGAGATAACCGCTGTAAAACTTCTACAAATGAACATAAATCTGCAGGTCCAGGAAAAAGAATATATCTAGGTGAAATTTAAAGAAACACATGCTGTGATAGCCAGTCTACAAGACAGCCCCACTGATCCTCACCTCTTGGTATTCATAACCCATGTGTAGTTGTCTCCCATGCTAAGTGAGCCATTAGGAGCAGATCTTCAAGCCCTGCTCAAGCTTTCAGATGACTACAGCCCCAGCCAACAGCTTGATTGTAACTTCTTAAGAGACCATGAGTCAGAAACACTCAGACAAACAGCTCCCATATTCCTGACCCTCAGAAAACCTGTGTGAGATAACAAATACTTAAGCTGCTAAACTTGGGGGTAATTTGTACACAGGGAGAGGTAACTAATACGCATGCTAAGACTAAACAGTTCCCCCCCCCCCCCCACTGTGCAACCCACTTCAGTGCCTGCAGCCTACAGACAGAGGCCAGGCAATGGTTTGGGGCCGGTTTACTCTGTCACAGGATGCTAGGAGAGGCCCAGGGGGCCAACCTTCCATAAATCCAAACCCATCCTAAGACCAAATAGTTTCAAATGACTTACAGAGAGCCTTTTCCATCTGATCCAGACTCTCTGATTACATTTCAAATATACCAGACTTCTTTTAGTCTCTGCATGCACCATGTTCTCTCTGTACAGCTCACATGACACAGCCCTGCCTGACACATTCTTTAACATCTTCTCTACTCAACACGTGTGCTCCTTGGGCTAACTTCTCATCATCAGAGCACTCAGAGAAATCCCATGGGACAGGGACAGGAAGGACTCTAAAGGTGGGAGAAAGTAAACATTCTCAGGCAATGATACAAATGAATCTTCAGGCTAGCAACTAAGGTAACTACAAAGGAACCGAGGAACCCTTATATTCCACACAACCTCAGGTTTAGGCAAGGCTTGGGATAAGGTCAAGACTCAAATGTTGGATGGTTTCCAGGTCCTCCTAAGTCATATCCCCTTGTTGTGGTTTCATTATGATCCTTGAATTGAAATCTCTGAACATCAGACACGCCCATTCTTGAAAGCATACTCGTAATTGCACTTAGCATACTTGCAACTGTACTCAAAGGACAAATAGAAATGATTTTTAAAACTGTCATCTGTTCTGTATTTATAGGATAATTCCAGTCTATTATGTTGACATTTAAGATCTGATTATAAGTGTATTTGTGGTGTGCCTAAATATGAACATATATATACACATATGTACATGCACATGTCATAAAATACTAACCACTAGTACCCTCTACTGGTGGAAATACCTTATCTGCTCATATGAATGGTCTTATTGCCCTCTAGTGACCACAACCTATAAAGAGAAAATCCAGCAGCAGATGGGAGAATCTCCTTGGCTATAATGATAGGGTTTTATGTTCTTTAAGCATCTAATTTTCTCAGATTCTGGTTTATATTACAGGGGTGCAACTCTCAAGACTCTTGGGGGAACCTCTGGGGGATTTCACACAGCTCTTGCCAGCTGTTAGCACCAGTCTGAAGCTACTCTCTCTTCTGCTTCTCATGAACAAGAGGTCAAGGGGAGGCAGAGAAGGTAATGGCTGCACGGGTGAGGGCAAGAACAGCAGCTGTGAATGACTACCCTGGACTCCCTGGGGACTTGGGAGCAGCTTGAGGAACACATGGTGGCCTCCCTTGCATATTATTCAGAGTTGTGTACTGTACTAAAATGGTAATTCGATGCAGTTCCTGACTTACCTCTTAAGATAACTCCAATGCTGTAATAAGTGACGTAGCAGCAAAAGTTGCTATCATTTTGCTTTTACAAACTATGCTTTGGAAGTTACTTCTACTCAAGACAGAAAAGCCAAGATTTAAGTGACCTGTTGCCACTTCTATGGAGTTTTTTCTGAATTCCCCAGATGTAAGACTACTCTGTTCTCTGTGCCAGCACACACCTTGCACAGATCAGAATGGTACCACAGACATTATTCATATGTTTTTACTTTTAATCTAAACTATTTTACTACTTACATTTGTCTACTTGCTGGTTTCTCCACCAAACCCTAAACTCCTTGAGGTCACAATCATGTCTTCTTCATTTCTGCACACCCAGCGTCAAGCACACTGAAAACATTACCCACAGATCATGCCAGATCATGCAAAAAGTACAGAAACTGAAGTAAGCATTTAGAAACTTTTATAGTAGTCTGACAAAGTACTTCCACATCTGTTGAATCTAATTTTTTTAAAGAATAGGGCTTTCACTTCACATATTTTAGTATCATTTACCTGATAATTTTTATTATACTATTAAAGTATTAGTCTACAATCAATGGAGAATTTTTTAAACAATGGTCTCTCACCACAGATAGTTTGAGAAGTACTGATATGATAGATAACAATGTTTGCGAGAGGGAGGAAAGAAAGAAAGAGATAAAACGGAAGCACTTCTCATAAAATTCAGAAGGAACATACCTATCTTTGTTGACTTTAACACTTCTCTGGAAGGTATTTTCTTCTTTAATTCTCTTAAGACTTTAACTAGATTCTCTTTGCTTTGATCAGGAAGCTCCAACATAGTTTTCCATCTTTTTATGTCTTCTATAACCACAACTCTCTGGGAAAAAGAAAAGTCATTTGGAAAATGGAACATTTTGATTAGAAAGACATCTGCCTTCACCTGAACTAATGGGGCTCCTACTGACATATGAATTATTGATTAAGACCTGAACCAAAGCACAGTATCTATGATGGCCCCAAATGATGGGTAATTGCTTAAAAGCAGCCCCTGCTTATTGCAAATCAGGAAGAGAGTTACATCTATTAGGAAAAGTGCAAGTTTTAATCTTACCATGTCAGACACCACTGGGCACTTAGTACTGAGATGCGAAAAGGAGGAGAAGAAAAGAAAAACGACGCTGAGGTGAACCAACCCTATAGTTCACTTAAGTGTCTTAATCCATAGTGGAGGACAGAGAGCAGAGAAGTCATAAAGACATAGCTATTTCAACAATAAAAAGCACACTTCAAAAGCTCCCTACGTCCTAGATGGTAAAACTCAAATCTTCTCTTGTATGAAGAATTTTTTAAAACTTCAAACACAAAAAGTTAGAGTATAATGAGTTACATTTTTCCATTTCACATAAAACAATAAAACACTGTAAAGTTCAAGTCTCCTTACACCCTTCACCCTTTAATCCCTTCCTTACATTTCTAGAAAGAACTACCATCTTAAAGCTGACACAAATCTTTCCATTAAGTGTAAAATATTAACAATTAAGGAATCCAGGTGAAAGGGATGAGTAACGTCTTTGTACTATGTTACACTTAAAATTATTTCCACTAGTAATTTTTAAAAATAAACTGGGAGACAAAAAATAAAGTTGCTTTTATCTGGGAAGGGGCACACGGGCTTCTGGTACATGTCCTGTTTCTTGATCTGGATACTGGTGACACAAGTGTGTTCTGTGAAAATCTTTTAAGATGTACACTCTGGATTTGTCTACTTTTCTACATGCATGTGGTAATTCAATAAAAAAAAAAAAAAACCCAAAAAAGTCTCAGTTACCTCCCTGGGCAGGGTCTAGCCTAGCTGCCTGTGCTGGGAGAAGGGGATGTCTGGGGACTTCTCCATTTCCCCATCTCTGCTTCTCCTCCTTCCCTAGCTGTTTGTTTGCTTTGGTCTCTGATCCTTCCAGGTTTGAAACTGGGAAAAGGAGGAACAGTAACAGTCAGGAAAAGCCTTACTTTTGGTTGTGATGCTATGCTCACCAGGTTTCAGTACTCTCTAGACTTGGCAGATAGTCAAAAGCTGACTCTCTCTCATGAGCTGTTTTTGTGGTTCCACGGAGAGCTCCCCTGGTTGAGATCTCACCTGTAGTATTCGCACAGCACTGGCAAGGTCTTTTCCAGCCAGCCACATACAGGTCTACCCTAAGTCTCCAGTTTCTGGCAACCAGCTTCATACATTCTCTGTAGGGGTCCCATTACCCTTCTAAGGATCCTTATGAACCAAGCCCCTTTAATTCAACTCCAGGTTAGCCAGTATTTTCTCTGCTATGCCCACATCTTTGCCCTGAAAAACTCTGAGCATAACAGCCTTCTGAATGCAACCACTTCCCTTTCAGTGGCATCAGTAAAAACCCTCTGGTTTTAGACTTTTCCCCAGCACAGGTCTGGTCTCTGTCTACCAACTCCAGGAACTGAGGTCAAGTTCTCCAAAAGAAAATACCACAGCCATCCCATTTTATCCAAAGGAATTTTTATTCCTTTCTTTCTTTACCTTCAACTTTCTTTATTACCTAAGATAGGATTCCAAAACTGGTCTTCACATACTGCCTTCGCAAGTTCTGCACAGACGGTCTAAGTAACTTTTGGGACCACCATTTTATACATATTGTTTTGTGCTCAAGGTTTCCCAGGTGACGCTAGTAGTAAAGAACCCATCTGCCAGTGCAGGAGACATAAGAGACATGGGTTCGATCCCTGGGTCGGGAAGATCCCCTGGAGGAGGGCATGACAATCCACTCCAGTGTTCTTGCCTGGAGAATCCCATGGACACAGGAACTTGGTAGATTACAGTCCATTGGGTCGTAAAGAGTCAGACACGACTGAAGCGACTTAGCATGCATACATGCACACTTTGTTTTCAGTCTTTAGGAGCCCTAACCAAAATTGAGACAGAGTACTTTTCCATGACCTGTTATAATATAAAATAACATTGGTGTTAAATGGCATGAAACACAAATAAATGAAGCCAGGTAAGGGATATTTTCAGTAGGAAGTAGATATAAATATCATATTATGCAACTTGCACTTCTCACTCAATATAGTTTGACTTACCCATACTGATACATATAAACCCAGTTGATCCATTTTGATAGTATTGAATATTATTCCATTATTTTTATATAAAATATCTCAGAATATTAAAATCGATTCCCCTAATGCATATTTAGGACTTTTTCCCCCTCATATTTTTCCTATTATAAACATTGCTTCAGTGAACTCCTGCCTATTATATATTCATAAGTCTTCTATCCTTCAACTTTTCTGGGTCATGATTTACTAGCTTATGGCTGCTTTATTTTGCTCCTCCTTCCCCATCCAATCTGAAAATTTCTATCTTTTAACAGGCATGTTTAATCCATTTGCATTTATCATGATTACTGATATACTGGACATACATTCTCTTTGCCTTTTTTCTTCTTATCTTTTATTTAACAGCCTGAGTTTTCTTTAATCTTGTTTTTTCTTTCAAGGCTTAGAAGTTACACATTCTATCATTTTAGTGTCTGTCCCTACAATTTTTAAGATAATCAATGAAATCTATACCAAGTCTCTACATTACAGAAAACTCCTATTAGAAATATACATGGTCTCTTGGCCTGTCCTTCAAGTCTCAACATTTCTGCCATATTTCTATTTCTCTGGGATGCATTCCAGTGATTTCCTCAGATCTAGCTTTCAATTTGGGCTTCTCTGGTAGCTTAGATGGTAAAGAATCTACCCGCAATGCAGGAGACCCAGGTTCAATCCCTGGGTTGAGAAGACCCCCTGGAAGAGAATGGCTACTCCAGTATTTTTGCCTGGAGAATTTCATGGCCAGGGAGTCTGGCGGGCTACAGTCCATGGGGTCGCAAAGAGTCAGATAGGACTGAGTGATTAATACTTTCACTTTTTTCAGCTTTCAATTCAGCATTTCTCTCCATAGCTATGACTTTACTTTTAACCTGTCCAATGTGCTTGTCAACAAATATGCTTTTTCATTGGAAAAATTCTGGTTTTTTTCCTCTAAATCTGCCCATTTTTTCCATAATATCCTATTCTTACCATTTCTATTCCTTTATCTCTGTGAATATTTTTAACACATTTAAGATCTCTTTCAGACTGTTACCTATGTTTCCTGGAGTAGAAATTCTATGACTTAAATCTACCTGTTCATTCTCCCTCCTGGTAATTACTTTACTATAAGTTTTGTAAGTTTTGACCATGAGTACATTTTTAATGTTTTCCAAGGGAATCCTATGTACTCTAGGTTTAGAAGAGTCTTAACACGGAAATTTCACCTTTGCCTTTGCCAAGGTCCTTGGATTTCCCTGGTTCTGGACCAGTTTTCATGTTAATTTTTCAGCTTTGTAGGTGGTATGAAGTTAAATACACACACACACACACACACACACACACACACACACAGTCATAAGCGTGAGGTTCTCATTTATTATGGGGTCAACTTTTTTTGAACCCAAAGCCTGAGATGATATAATCCTCATGCTGATTCCTTAGATTGGTGGATGGAATTTTTCTAGCTCATTTTTCAAAAATATGGTAGCCCTATGTTGACTTCCAGCTCCTTTATCTGCAATCCTCATAGTGGCCCTAAAATCCAGCCCCCAAACTCTGTGCCTGGTTTCCATAAAACTATATAGAAGCATACCTTGTTTTATTGCACTTCACTTAATTGCATTTTGCAGATAGTGCTTTTTTTTTTTAAACAAATTGAAGGTTTGTGGCAACCCTGCATCAAGCAAGCCTACAGATGCTATTTATTCCAACACATGCTCACTTCATGTCTGTCATATTTTGGTAATTCCTGCAACGTTTCAAACTTTTTCCATTATTATTATATTTGTTATGACCTGTGATCAATGATCTTTGATGTTACTACTGTAATTGTTTTGGGGGGTGCCATAAACCATGCCCATATAAGACAGCAAACTTGTCTGATAAATATTTTAAGTTCTCCACCAACCAGTTATTTCCCCATTTCTGTCTGCTCCTTGGGCTTTCCTATTCCCTGAGACACAGCAACATTGAAATTAGGTTAATTAACAGCCCTACTATGGCCTCTAAGTGTTCAAGTGAAAGGAAGAGTAGCTTGACTCTCATTTAAAATCAAAAGCTAGAAATGATTAAGCTTAGTAAGGAAAGTATGTTGAAAACCAAGACAGGCCAAAAGCTAGGTGTTTTGCATCAAATAGTTAACCAAGTCATAAAGGCAAAGGAAAAGTTCCTGGTGGAAGTTAAAAGTGCTACTCCAGTGAACACACAAATGATAAGAAAGCAGAACAGACTTAATGCTGATAACATTTAAGTGGTTTGCATAGATCAAACTAACTACAACATTCCCATAAGCCAAAGCCTAATCTGGAGCAAGGCCCTAATGCTCTTCAAGTCTATGAAGGCTGAGAGGTGAGAAAACTGCAGAAGAAAAGTTTGAAGCTAGCAGAGGTTGGGTGATGAGGTTTAGGGGAAGAAGTTTCCATAACATACAAGTGCAAAGTAAAGCAGCAAGTGCTAAGGTAGAAGCTGCAGCAAGCTATCCAGAGGATCTATCTAAGATAATTAATGAAGGTGACTACACTAAACAACAGATTTTCAATGTAGATAGAATAGCCTCATACTGGAAGAAGATGACATCTAGGGCTTGCATAGCTAGAGAGGAGAAGTCAACGCCTAACTTCAAAGTCTCAAAGGACTGGTTGACTCTCTGTTAGGGACTAATGCAACTGGCAACTTGAAGCGGAAGCCAATGCCCACTTGTCACTTTGAAAATCCTTGGGCCCTTAATTACCCAAATTACTCTTCCTGGGCTCTATGAATGTAACAAAGCCTAGA